ACACTGCTGGCTCATATTCAGCCGGCTGTCAACCAGTACCCCCAGGTCCTTTTCCACCAGGCAGCTTTCCAGCCACTCTCCCCCAAGCCTGTAGCACTGCATGGGGTTGTTGCGACAAAAGTGCAGGACCCGGCACTTGGCCCTATTGAACCTCATACAGTTGGCCTTGGCCCATCGATCCGGCCTGTCCAGGTCCCTCTGCAGAGCCCTCCTCCCCTCAAGCAGATCAACACTTAAATAATTAGGACATTGAAAAAGGAGATTTGGGAGGACGTTTTCCACTCCTGCATGCCCAGGCAGGGAAGAAGCAGGTACACGAGCAGGCATTGCCCTGGCTGTTGTGGGCTGGCTCTGCTCTGCCCCCACAGCAGGTCACTGCCAGGCAAGGACAGGCTCACAGGCAGGTCCCTACGCTGCCAGTTCCCAGCCCGGCTCAGCTCTCCGTGACCATTCCCACCTTGCCCTTGGCCGTGTCTGCACGGTCAGTGTGTGCGAGACCAGTGGCAGTGACCGGGAGGGTTGAAGGGACACCAGAAGGCTGGAGCTGGCCCTGGCTGCTCTCCCACTGCGTGCACACACTGCAGCATGTTTCATTTCTGCTTGCTGTTTGCACAGCGGGATGGGGTGACCCAAACCCACACCACTGCTGGACGGGGCCATGGGGCTCCCCCCTCACCGGCCGGTGCTCCCCTCTGCTTTACGCCCCCCCTGGGACAGGTGGCTGCGGGCCAGAGCAGACAACTGACCTGGCACAAAACTAACTGTTCCGCAGAAGTAACAGAAAAAATGGTAGTTTCCAACCAAATCCCCGCCTGGGGTGATCATGTGGCATCCTAAGCACCGGTGCCACAACAGAGCCAGAAGCGGGCACGCAGGGAGGGCAGCTGGAGCCCTTGGCAGCAGCACGGCTCAGGTGGAACCATGCTGGAACCTCAGCGCATGGGCACGAGCCCTGCCAGGGCCAGGAGCCCTCCCGCCTGCCCCTGCCCCACTCCCACCCTGCCCTTCCCAGGCACCAGCACAAATATTTGTGCAGCGGCCCCAGGAGTGGTGCAGGGGGACTGATCCAGCTGCAAACCTTTTTGGGCCTGTTGCTGCTCTTTCTTTTGGCAGCAGTATCAGAATAAAGTGGTTTCTGAATAACACTCCGAGCATCCTGCAGCAGGAGCCCTCCCGCCTGCCCCTGCCCCACTCCCACCCTGCCCTTCCCAGGCACCAGCACAAATATTTGTGCAGCGGCCCCAGGAGTGGTGCAGGGGGACTGATCCAGCTGCAAACCTTTTTGGGCCTGTTGCTGCTCTTTCTTTTGGCAGCAGTATCAGAATAAAGTGGTTTCTGAATAACACTCCGAGCATCCTGCAGGGCCATTGCTTTATATTCAGGCAATTATGGCAGCCCTGGGAATGCCTTATCCAAAATGACATCGAAACCTAAACAAACTTGTAACAGAAGGCTTTCCGTAACACTTAAGAGACGACGCAACGGCATGCTGCATGCTCAGCCCTAGTCCTGCGGGGGATAGGAAAAAACAGGAACACTTTGTACACCACGTCCCAGCCATGCGTTAGCCTGCATTGTTTCGCTGACAGCTCAGACTGGACTGAAACTCTTATTTGGTCAAATTTCAATTTTGCGTTGCCTTCTGCAATATCAACAGTTACTTAGAAAGCATTTGCAGCAGGGCCAAGGGCGCCAAACTGTGGCTGGCATTGCCTCCAGACGTGAAGATTCTGGCAATCAGGCCCCTTGCAGTCTGCAGGATGCTGCCCAGGCAGTATCGCACCGCAGATGTTCATCTGCCCCTGCAGAAGACGTAGACCGAGGCTGAGCCCTGCTAGCTTGTACCGTGTAACAGCTAAGCACTGCCTTTATTGTAAGGAGCAATTCTCTCTAAGCCAGTATTACAGCTTGAAGAGCTCCAAAACTTGCTGACCTGCCACCGCGGTAAAAGCAGAGCCGTATGAACAACGAGCAGCCCCCTGCCAGCCCTGTGTCAAATGTGTGCCCGTGAAGACGGCGTCATGACGGTCACGCTGGAAATCTGAAACTAGAAAATGACATCGAAAATGGGGGCTTAAAGAAAAAGTAACAGTTGTGTCATGATCTAACTGTAATAAATACGGTTGTATCCCTCACTTACAGTAAGCTGCCTATAATTAGACCAGGTTAATTACCAATCAAGCGCCCTGCAAGTTGCAGTGCTTTTCTGAAGGGCCCTGTCCACGCAGATGGGAAGGAGTGAGGGGACCCCAAAGGCCTAAGGACACCTGGAGAGAGCAGGGTTTTATCCAGACCCTGTGCACAGGTAACGTGACTGCCTGAACCGGGCCCAGGCTTTATCGCAAAAAAACCTAGCAGCCAAGGAAGGCTTTGAAAGTCGCTCAAGGCTTATTTGGCAACCTTGCAGTGCAATAAGGGGCACTGCAGTGCAAGAAGGGTTAGGAAAGAGGCAGGTCACGTGCCAAAAGACCTGAAGGGATGCAACTGCCTCCTGTGCTGCAGGCTGGCCACCGGTGGCGAGGGATGGGCGGCCGAAGCGTGGGGCAGCAGCCTTGCCCGCTCCCGCTGTGCCCTCTGCCTGCCTGGGCCCTGCGCCAGCAGCCGACGGTCATCACCAAAACACGGTGCCCGCAAGCAGCCAGAGCTTCTCAAAACAATCTCTGCGAATTTTCTGCATGCGAGAATTATCACCGTGCTTTTAAAGCGACACAAACTTTACATTGCTCTCTTGCATGCGAAGCCAGTAAAAACAGACCGTTCACTGCAGAAATAGTCACCGCATTAGGAACTGCTCTCACTGCGCTGGAAAACAGCAAATAACCATGTTTGGTGTCTGCAGGTTTTTCCAAGGGGGCCCTGCAGCTGCACACAGCCACCCCAGCAGCTGTACTGAGCAGCCGTGCCCGACCCACCATGCTATAACCACCAGGAACAAGCAGGGACCCCCCAGGAGCTTCTCCGAAACCCCCAAAAGCATCCTCTTCACATCCCCAACCCAGCCTGTCCCCATCACGCCAAAGGATGGGACACACCAGGGATGGGCACGCACTAACGCAACATGGCAAGCAAGAAACCACACTCGATGCCCAGTGGGCACGCCTGCTGAGAAGGTTTCCCTGCCCTGTGCCTGACACCAGGGTACACCCCATCGGCATACACCCCATCAGCCTTTGCACCCCACGCACCGGCAGGCTCTTTGCACGTGGATGGAGCATGCATTTGGTTGTGTGCTTGAAGGAGGCGTGAGTCCCCAGCGCTTGATGAGGAACCGCATCATGCAGAACATTTAACGCCTCTAACCCCCAGCTGCTGGCCAGCTTTGGCAAAGGCACGCGTCGGTCACCAGCATCTGGAGATCCCAGGGACAGCAGTGTCCATCACCAAGAGCCTACCTCAAAGCCTGGGCAGCTGAAACTCAACATGCAGAAAGCCTAGAAACCCGTGGGGTGCCAACCACGATGAAACGAGTGTGCCGGTCTCTGCAGAGCTCCTGCTGTCGGAAGCAAGCCCTGATGTGTGGGGCCAGGAGGTTTTAGGGAATGAAGGCCTCCCTGGGGTAGCTCCAGAAACCAGCCTCCATCTCCAGGGTGCAGGCAGAGCTGCTGTCACCGCTGAGCCCACAGGGATGCCTGGGAGGGGGCCGGA